GGCCATGCCGAGCCTATACTAGACTTAGCAGTCAAAATGTAGTAGTTAAGAAATATACAGTGACATTATTCTTTAAGTAGTGTAATGTTGACGTTTATTTTATAAACTAAATCACCAATTTAACATTTCTCGAAATTCTGGTCGTAAGTAAAGGGTAAATATTTTATGTCAGTAGTCAGTGCTTCAAGATATGTTAAACCGTGAAGATCGTGGCAAGTATAACCACTAATGTGAATATCTAATTGTTCTTCAATGTTATATTAATCATTTATTGAATTTTTACAAGAAAATGAAATAGAGACAAAATCACCCACAACTTTATGTATTTTCAACATTTATTTACAGAACAATTCTTAAAAAAGACACCGCAACCCATAAAGCGTTATACTTTGGACTTTCAGCGATCATTTTTGAGCAACAAAATTATATTTTTCAAAAATATTATTAATAAAAGCTTTTGCATTCGGGGCGGTCATAAATCTCATCAGCAGAGAGGCATAAGTTACGACGAGGACTGAAGATTGTGCCTGATTCGCACTGCATTTCGTAAGGTATCATTAGCACACACCAATAATACTTCGTACAGTCGGACTCGTGCTTGAAATAGTTGGTCTGACCATCACAGTTGACGGTGCCAGGCGCTGCGGTAGGTCTGCCTGTAGCTTGGGGTCCTCTCGTAATCCTGGATGTTGAAGATGGAGGAGTTATGGTGCTAGACTGTGTAGATGTAGTGCTAGATTGTGTGAAACTCGTGGTTGAACTAGATTGTGTTGAAGAAGTAGTTGATGGTGTTGTGGTGGTGGTGATCGTCGATGTGGTAGTTGTAGTGGAACTTGAAGGCGACCACTGTGGCCACCAAGTTGACTTAGGCTTAGGTGTGGTAGTTATGGTAGGATCTGGTGTTGAGACCATGTAATCTTTCATTCTATTGTTCATAACTTTAAGAAGTCCATGTTTCTCTCCACATGCTCCATTAAAGTCATCCATGTCGATAGCCCAGATCATTGCTCCACCATATCCTTGTTCTTTAATATAATCCATCTACAAAATAACGTAGAAGGTATTAATAAGTACATATACTTTTGTTATTTCTAAACAGATATAAATATCTTACAGTTAACTTGTTGTAAAAATAGCCCGGTTAGATACATATTTGTTGTACTTTAGTAAAATGAGAGAGAGACGACAGAGCGACATGGCGTAATTTGTCTATTGCTATAATTTCATTTGAAGCGAACAAAGTTACAGGTAAGCTAGTACAAGTTTGTTCAGTAAACCTAAATTGAAGTTAGAACTGAGTTTTGTGAAGGTGCAACAGATGATCCTGTGTTAATAATTCAGTTGATAAAAACACTGAGTCCAGGAAGTTTTCCATACACTCTTCGTTTTAGATTGAGGAAAATTAATAATACATTACTTGCCATTTCTTCATTGAAACACACGTGAGTATACGAAAAATTACAACTTCACTTTTATGGTAAAACGAATTAACACGACACAGTACAACCATGGATTGTTTGTTCTTATGCAGACAGAAACAAGTTCAAACAATTATTTAAGAGTTTTAAACCATATTTATTATTACACTAAATGTGTGTGAAGTTGACTTAGAAATCTGCATAGAATGTACAGTTCTATCAGTCCAGGAATAGATTTTAATGGATAAAATCTTAAAATCCAGTTTTTATGTATATTCTCGTCTTAGACAAGTTTTTTTCTATATAATTTCTACAGTAATTGAAGTACGAGTTCAGAAAAGGAACGAACAACAAAAAACTAACTTTGATTCCGATACTTTCTTCGTCTTCATAACCAATCCACTGATCGTCATAATACGCATATGGACACTTTCCAATATCATCAAATTCTTTGGTCCATTCTTTATTTTGAATATGTTCACAAATCTATAACAATTAAGCAATAACAAGACAAAAATTACAAATCAGAAATTCTCCTTCTTCTAGTAAAACGTACAATTAATATAAAGTAGAACACATATTAAAGATGACTGTGTGTTGTAAAAGAAAAAAAAAGGTGCATGCATTTAAAGACCAAATCCGAAAACCATTTGCTTCAGACACCTAGTCCTATTATACTGTGCAAAGTTTATTGTGCGGCCTTTGGTCTCATCCACTTAATTAACCCTTTGTTCCTTTTTTTTACAATTAGTGTATGAGGTTGTGTCAACAGAAAGTTAATCGCACTTTATATAAGAACATGTTCTAGTCACGTACTGCCCTTGGAACTACCACTTCCATGCTCAGTTTGATTATTACTATTATATACTATCGCCTGACACTACAATTACCTATGTGGCAAATTTTGCGAAGGTAAATTTTAGACCATCATCGTAACAAACTTTAAAACAGATTTTCCACACTCCTCTGGATGTAAAATTCAAATTTTTGTTTATTATCTCGCTAATAATATCAGAAATTCTTCCTACTTTCGTCACCATGGCATTTTCGATCAGTTTTGTGATCATATACTTAACTAGCTTCTAAATGGCTTGAGTTGTGGTTTCTGGTACCCATTGCTGTCCTAAATGTTCATCTGTCAGATTTCTAAAGATTCATCGAAAACGCTGAAGGCTTTCTTCTCGGAAATACTGTGTCCTTCGACTCTACCTCATTTAACAATTTCGTTGTGTTTATATTGCGTTTTGGAAAAGCTTTTTATATTCCTTCAGCCATAAGAATAATAACTCAGTTTGGCATTACACTGTTTGATAGTCAAGAATTCGCTGTGAACCAAATATCTAGGTTTGGAACAAGTTGCTTGTGGCGTCACAGCTCGCATCTTTGGTGACTCGTCACTGTATTGGTATATGCCAATCGTTCTTACAAAGTGTGCTTAACTTCTCATATACACGGTTTTCCTTTTTATTTAATGTGAAGTTTTTAAGCTTTCTTCCCAACTGTAATCAGAGTGATGATTTGGAGAAAATATGATGATTCGTTAAAAAGTTTTGTTTAAGTCACCTTTCCAATCATACATACACGATCTACAGTGACCGTCTGGTTGAATTGAAGTTGACAAGCTAAGTAAGATTGAGCTAATTACTAAATGCATACAGATAAGACTAAGTTCACTAGATCAAGAGAATACAATTCAGTATTTTTTAGGAATACAGTAAAGTTGTTTTATCTAAGATGGATAAAAATGGCACAGTTTTAGACATTACTTGCGCCTATAACTCTGTACACATATTAAAGAAATATATTTCTTTATAGACTTGATTTTTTATGTTAATTTCATATCGGAGGAAAAATAACTTTTCTAAAATCTCCAAACATTCTCAATGGTACTACTAACTTTTGAAAATTGTTACTCAGTAACTTTGTAAAAGTATTTTCAATTGACGAGGTACAGATATCAAAGTTCCCAGTTGATTTTGGGCTTTGCTTAGCGCTTAAAAAATTAGAGGTCTTACTAAAATAATTTAGGGTCTTTGCATAGCTATAGCTGTATCTGTTGTGGATATCTACTACATAGCTAAAGAAGCAACATTTTATTACAAGTCCTTTCTCTATCTTTATTTGCTTTAATGACCATTCAGGAACAGTACTACCCCTGGGTGATTCCACAAATCTCTTTGTTCAGTAATCGATATTGTTTCGTTCGGTTAATAAGATCTAACGCGTAGCATAAAGTATACATTGACTTGAGCTGGGACTCTTAGAAGAAAGGTGTATGTTTTTTTAATTCTTTCTCGGAATTATATTATTTCTATCAATAAGATCTAACGCGTAGCATAAAGTATACATTGACTTGAGCTGGGACTCTTAGAAGAAAGGTGTATGTTTTTTTTAATTCTTTCTCGGAATTATATTATTTCTATCAATAAGATCTAACGCGTAGCATAAAGTATACATTGACTTGAGCTGGGACTCTTAGAAGAAAGGTGTATTGTTTTTTTAATTCTTTCTCGGAATTATATTATTTCTATTATGGATCAGCTAAGAAAGAAAACTTAAATGAAAGAAAAACTGATTTGATCTTAAATTATTGTTGCTCTATTTCTCCCTTCTACCATTCTATCATGCAACCCTTTTAGTAACTATATTATTTCAATAGATTATCATAAGCTAAGACTTAATAAGCTTCAGCTAATCAAATTTATTAGTTAAAACGTACATAAGTTAATATAGTCATAAAAATGCGTTATTTGCTTAAGGTAAATAACGGTCTAAAGATTAAAATACATTTTGAGAAAAACAAGAATTATTTATATATCACGATATTTTTCGATAAATAAAACTAAGTTTTTCGTTTTTACTTTAATGGAGAATAGTTATCAATAGTTTTAGTGTCATGTTTGCATTGTAATTATATAACAATAATCCAAAACTATACCTCATAATAAGCAAGAAATCCACTGGCATTGGTGTAGGGTCCTGGTATACCACCACCTTCCCATTTCTTAACAGGGGCTCGAAGTTTCGTGTTGTCCTTGCTACCTAGTGTATAGGTTCGGCCGTAGAAGGGAACACCAACTATTAGTTTATGTTTAGGGGCTCCTAGTTCCACCCACAAATTCAAGCCGTCATGCTATGAAAATAATATCATCTCTTGGTTACTGTAGAGATTATACCTGCTTTAGTTCTTTAACTAAACTGCTAAAATTATAAACATCTGAACGTTTTGTAGTTTAATGAGATGAAATTTTGCAAATTTCATGATAAATGCAAAATAGATACTTTAGTGTTGTATTTTATAGATTCGTGATGTCAAATAAAGAAATAATACGAATAAGTAGAAAAATAATCATTTTTTTTGGCTGTCTGTGAATTTTTCTAATATTTTTTTTTCCAAAATAATAAAAAACATTTTGTATAGGCTCACCACATTCAGTGTTTCGTACGCCCATTGATCAAAAGATCTTTTGAAAAGAGGACTGTGGACATCAGCAAATCCTGCCCAATTACCTCTCAGGTCATAAGTCATGACATTGATCCAGTCTAACAGTCTGCGAAGTTGAAAGATCAATTTTTTTATCAAGCTAGCTAATTTCTTAAAATCTATGAAAGATTTGTCTTACAATTACAACAGCGCGTGGAACTTTATTTAGTAGGCCTGTTACATATTACTGTCTAGTTTTTGTAAGTTGCTATAAATGTGTTATGTTAAAAATAATAAAACAGTTATTTATGTATAAAGAAAAACGAAGCTTGACAAAACCTGCTTTAACATACTTTCCTAATTCTGCTACTTCATAGCCTTCTTGAAGACGAAATTTTGCTACTGGCACCGCTGCCGTCAGCAGAAGTTTGTGAGGCTCGAAAGCTTGTCGTAGTTCCTGTACGTAGAAATCAGAACAAAGACTTATTACTAACTTTTATGACGATTTGATCAATAACGAGGGATACTAAATTAACATAGTAATAAAGGTTGTACTGAGAAAAAGAAGAAGAAAAATCACAGTTAAGCTACTCTTAGAAGTGATAAATAGGTGACGCTTGGAACCGTTATGAAGTAATGATTTAGTTTAAATTTACTTTCCTCGCCAAAACGTGAATTTCAATGAAGGAAAAAAATGAAGAAGAGGCCTAATATATTCTCTAACTCATTACTCCCAGTACAGCAGACTAATTTCGCTGAATTCACAGCCCATCAGTGCTGCTTGGAAGAGCGAAGTTAATAAATAAAGTAGACCTCATATAGCAGTGGAAGATAAGAATTAAGTTTGGTTTTGATGATGAATGTAAACATATAAGTAACTCTTAATAACCTAGTTATTAATTCATGATGTTAGAAAAATACATGTACAGTTTAACGAAAATACAAAACCCTATAACCTGACCGCTTTCGAAAAGTGAACTATTTCTCGTCAAGGACAAATTAGTCCAGTTATTAACATTCATATACAGACATTTACTTTGAAAATGAACTTGAGAGCTCTGTAAAATTGTTTAATATAAAGAAAGCGACCACAATAGTGTATTGAATACCGTATAGTTCTTCATCAAGGTGTCTAAATCCATCGTTCACAACCGTCAGTGACCATTCTAAAGGGGTTGGTTATGGTGAAGATTGAGTTCCCACATTATAGTTTGACAAAACAAAAGAAACATAATACGCTAGATTCAATGAAAGTAATATTTTATTTGAAAATTTCCCTAACTTTTATACTTAGTTATGTCAGCGCTACTTTCATACATTACAGGATTAGCTTCTTCAGATAAACGTATTTGAGTATGAAGATCAGTGAGACTGTCCATGGTTCATGAAGGGATCTATGAGGAAACGGAATGTGAGAACCGTTGGTTTAGCCTCCTCAAAACGTTTTGAACAATTGTTATGGTTAGTATTTTTGAAGTGGTTTTCTGTTCAAACTTTTCAATTTTTTTATTTGTTTGTTTGTAGTTTAGCACAAAGATATATACAAAGGGCTATATGTGCTCTGCCCACCACGGGTATCTAAACCCGGTTTCTAGCGTTTAAGTCCGCAGACATACCACTGTGCCACTGGGGGGCCTTTTTTTTTGGTAAATGTTACCTAGCTAAAGACTGTACAATGTGTTCCAAAAGTGTGGTCTTATAGAATAATAAGATTTTGGGGACAACACGCCGAGTAAATCATGTGAAACGTCTCACTTCCCTAGGGACCAAATATTTGGTACATCTCATGCAAATTTTATTTATTGCTGTTAGCAAATATTTTAAAATACTTCTTTTTTTACATCGAAACAAATACTTACTTTTACAAGGTCTAAGAACCTCTCTTTGTCTGTATATTTCCCTCCCCGATCAAAAGCTCCAGGATACTCCCAATCCAAGTCAAATCCATCGAATCCAAACTTCAATACCCAGTCCACTACGCTTTTTACGAATACATCTCGTCTCTCCTTATTTGCAACCATATCGGAGTACTTATTTCCTCCTTCTGCCCAGCCTCCCACAGCTAACAAGAGGCGGAGGTTTGGGTATTTCACTCGTAACCCAGTGAATCGACTGTAACCACCTTTGGAAAGAGAAAGCGAGGATACTTCGTAGTTTTACGATTTTAAATAAAGTAGAATGTAGTTGTAAATCTACCAATTTTAATCATGACTATGTGTCTGCAGGATTTATCTAGTAGTAAATGCCAGCATTACTTGTTAGTTTTAACTTATTAAACTCTTCAGGATTGGTCAATATAGAGTGTTTTATGTGACCGGAATTTAAACGTTTAAAGAAGTATTGTGGAATTGAAACTTTTTAGTAAAATAAAATGGTGATTTTAATGAAGAGTAAAGTAAAAGTAGACAAAACGTTTGATGCCGATGTAACCTTTACCTTTTTCTATATCATATTCAGGATCTATGCTCATCAGCTCCCAAGTAGTGTTGCTCAAGCCAACAAAAGAGTAAATGACGTCCGTACACAAGTGTCCAGGAATGTCTTCGATATCATAAGACATCGGTTCCGGTCGGTAATTTGCCCATGCGCTAAAGTAGCACACAATCTTTCCTGGCTGATTTCCGAGTCTTTCACTGTAGAGTGCTACATCTAAGAAAACAATATAGAAAAGACAGCTATTTTGACAGTTTAAATATCTCCTTTATATACGCGTTTCAAAATGCCCTCTTGTGGCAATGCACCAATAGAGACGTTACTCGTATTTAGAGTTACTTAAGAAAAGTAAAATAATGAAAATTAAGTTAAATGACAACGTTACTTAGTAACATTTGCTAAGCGTATATTTATAGAACAAATAAAAAATTCTTGAATACTTATTCATTCTACTGAAATCCTTAAACGACTCTCTATTATCAATCTTGTATAATATATTTGAATATATGTCTTTATTTTAAATTAGAGAAATTATCCTTTTTTATATGCTGGTTTAATTCCTAGATATGCCAATCAAACAACATTAATTTAAAAGATATAAATTCAAATATATTCTTACCGTGTGGACGAATATTTATTGGTTCCGCCCCCGAGGCAAGTTGGAAAAGCCCCAAAAATATAGTTATTTTCCACATTTTGATATGGCAGGACCACTAATTAGTGTGACTAAGTGTTTATTCCTTTAATAAAAAAAATATGTAAGTCACACTCACAAGTATTATACAAGTTATCTGTTTGATTACAGAGGTACAAAATAACGCCCTATTTCGAAACTCAAAGAAAAAAATATTAAAACTGTATTATCAGTAAATATATATTGAACTACTTAGTAAAATGGATTGGTAATTATGTAAGTGTTAGCGAAATGCATCAATAATCCCAAAAAGTATTATTAAAATTAATAAGATAGATGAAGTACCGTATTTTTCGGAATATAAGACACACCCTTATTTTGAAGACAAAGTTTTTTTTTGGGGGGGGGGAATGCTACAGTCGCATTTGAAAGATTTTTATTGAACAAAAATTCAACGGTGTGAAGGTCAACATCATCTGTCGAGAGTGCAAAGAACATTTGTTCGGATTATCCAAAGAAAACCTAATCTGATTCAATAATCTAATAAAAATCATAATTTCATGACATAACTAATTAAATATTTAGGTAGATAATGATAATCGAGCATCAGATTTGTAGGATCTTATCCTAGTACATACGTTAATAAAAAACATAGCTCTTAGTTAAAGTTTAGATTTACACAAAATAGACAGCATAACGAACCAAAAAAAAACAAATACATAAATGTATTTGCTGCACTTTTACAAAAATTTTAAAACAAAATTTTATGTTTTAAATGAAATACTCATAAACAAAAACGCCTGGCATGGCCTAATGGTTAGTGCATTCGAATTGCAATATGAGGGTCGCGGATTCGAATCCCTGTCACACCCAACATACTCGTCCTTTCAATCCTCATAGTCGTTGGTAAAGGAGTAGCCCAAGAATTTGCTGTGGAATACCTGTGTTTACTAGCTACCTTCCCTCTTGTCTATCGCTACTTTTGCGCGAAATTCAAAGTAAACAAAACTTTCATTCGCGAAGACGTTATAATTTTGCGATTAGGGGTGAATGTTGCCAGCCTTACTTTACCTTCAAGGAGGCAGATAGGTATGCTACATAGAATCATTTGCCATAAACCAAAATAATCGTAATCAGGTTATCATCGTGAATTTTTAAATACCTTTTCACCAGACTGTTAGTTTCATCCCGCGGTGAGTCAGTGGGATGTTTACAAACTTGTAATACAACAGTCCAGGGTTTGACTACCGTGGTGAATCACGCGCAGATAATTAATAATCCATTGTGTAACTTTGCGCTAAACTAAAACCATAACTACTTGTTTTATGTACTGTTATTACCGATTAGTTATATAAAACGAAAATATAATTAATTTTTCTTTGATAATTTTCTATTTTTATTATGTTTTATTATAAAATTGTTTACTGACTGAATGAAAAAGTTACTCATTTATATAAACGCGACGAATTAATTTTCTGACAATAGATAGTATCGTTTATTTCAAGAAATATTCAAGTCTGAAATCACATGCAACATATAACAGGAGTGCATTGATTTATTTTTATTTTCTGTGACACCACGTGAAAGCATAAAGCGTATCAGTAACAATAACAAAGGACGTTTAGCCAATTAGCGGCACGTACCGTATTTTTCGATGTATATGACGCACTTTTTTACCCCAAAATTTGATGTCAAAATCTGCTTGCGTTCTATACACCGAAGGTATGAATAATATATATGTATATATACGATATACACAAGCCATGTGTAAATATATTTAAATAGGCATGCATAGTTTAGTTCAATTGAATGTGTTATTTATAATAATAGTAGTTTTTTTTCTTTTAAAAACATAACTATTTATAATGCTCCCTAAATAATAGCAAAAATAAATTACAGTGAAAGCAATGAAGATTTTGTAGGTTTTGAACCAAACTAAATAACAGTAAACCTTTTTTTTGATTTACGGTATTTTCTTATTTTGATGTTTTGAGCTCTTTTGCGCTTAGAACAATATATACTAATTTTTAAAGTATCAAATTGGTACCAGAGCACTCGCTGCATCCCTATCATTTCGGTATAATGTTATCTTCCTGTCCTTGGTGCTAAAACACTCTCTGCAAACCTGTCATTTTGGTTCTGGTGATTCTCCAGTTTTTGGTACCAGAGCACTCGCTGCATCCCTATCATTTCGGTGCAATATTATCTTCCTGTCCTTGGTGCTAAAACACTCACTGCAAACCTGTCATTTTGGTTCTGGTGATTCTCCAGTTTTT